ATAGCTTGTATCTAGAGAAATGTGGGAAAAATAACCAATCCTTTGTTAAGGAATAGATGTACAGGAAAAGATTTAGTACTGCATTTAACTTAAATTTCCATGCCCCGCGAGAAGACACATGCCAAAAATTCGATTTACTGAAGGCAGAAATCGAAGCATGCAATAATGAGGAAGAGAAATTACATCTTATTGTTAGCGAAAGTCATGATGTATATTTACAAAATTCCTAACGAGCTAGGAACTGTCTTGCAGAGGACCAGAAAAAAACAAAAGAAAATTCCAGGGAATATTATGGATTCTCATTTGATTTGAAAAAAGCACTTCCGTATCCTAAATTGTCTCGTTAATCTATTATAAGCGAAATATGTACGTATACAACTTGAGTTTCCATAATTTCCATGATGACAATGTCAAGATGTATGTATGGGCTGAAACTACAGCTTCAAGAGGTGGATAGGAAGTAGCATCATGCATTTTAGCGCATATGAAGGCTATAACTACTCAAAAACACGTAATAACTACAGTGATGCTTGTTCAGGCCAAAATCGTAACATTAAAGTAGCATTGACATGGATGAAAATTGCTCAGTCATCAAATAATAATATTGAAACGGTTGACCACAAATTTTTGGTATCGGGTCATTCCTATCTACTGAATGACCATGATTTTGGCTTGATAGAAATTAAAATAAAATAAAGCATATTACTTATTATACAACCCTGAGCATTATTATGAATTGATAGGAAAGTGTAGAAGAAGAAATACATTTTCGATAAAACAAATGTTGCAACCGGATTTTATTTCAACGAAATCACTAGAAGAGTCAATAAAAAGAAGAGAAAAAAATACCGCGCGCGAATCTGTCTCTTGGCTGCAAATTCAATGGATGAGATTCTTGAAAAATGAACCTTACAAAATGTTCTATAAAACTTCTTTAGATGATTCTAAATTCCACGTTTTGGGTCTTTCACCTAAAAGAGGAAGACCAAAAATATACGGAAATATTAAATTACTTATACACCACCACTAGAAAGGTAACGGAAATACGGAATACATCACTCAAGATTTTCAGGAACATTTTAAGAATCTTAGTTACAATCTAAGTTATTGTTTCAAATAAAACTCATAGTTTTTTTATTGCTTTAAGTCATTTATAGGACATTCAGTTAATTTTGATAATGGTCTAAAGGTGGGTTTAGACATGTATGGATTAGTGGCGCTGGTAGTTGCGCCAGTTCAATTTGCACGCCAGTAAAGGTTTACACTACATGTGCGAAAACAAAAATAAGTGACACGCCAGGGTGCAGACTTTTCCGATCCATGCATGCATGATTTCAACTTGCATACCAGTTGATGTTTACACATTCAATTTTATTTTACTGGTGCGCCAGTTTTTATTAGCGCCACTAAATCCATGCATGTCTAAACTCACTATAAAGGTGGGTTTATTTAGTGGCGCCAGTAGTTGCGCCAGTTCAATTTGCACGCCAGTAAATGTTTACACTACATGTGCGAAAACAAAAATAAGTGACACGCCAGTTCTGCAGACCACTTTTTTAACTATAATAAACTATATAAACTACAATTATACACACTAATTAGGACCTCAACCAAAATGAAAATAGATATATTCTAGGTTTAATGTGGATTTGATTAATTTGACATTAAAAAATTATGTGTTTTTGTGGATACTCATCTATGTTATCATGATTACATGTTTTTAGACTCATCACTGGCGCCAGTGATTTCAGAAAGGTACAGACTTTTTCGATCCATGCATGCATGATTTCAACTTACATGACAGTTGATACACATGCAATTTAATTTCACTGGCGCGCCAGTTTTTATTGGCGCCACTAAATCCACGGTGACGGTGACAGTGACGGCTCTGATAAGCGGACAAAAGTCCATTACTTTTGTCCGCTTATGAGCATTATCATTCTCGAAAACGAATGATTTTAATTTGGAAATTACATTCAATGCTTCATTATAAAATTCATTCCTGCTCCTCCTTCGCCCCCTCATCATTATCATTATTGGCACCACAATCCCTAGTGGGTCTTGGTCTGTTCTAGGATCAGCTACCACACTCTTCTATCACGTGCCTTGGCCTTCCAGTTTCTAACTCCCAGCATTTTTAGACTTTGTTCCACTTAGTCCTTATATCTGCTTCTAGACCCGCCTCTCTTGCGGGTTCCAAAAACTATTTGGCGGAACATTTGCTTTGGTGGTTCGCTGTTATCCTTCCTTTCTAGATGGTCGAGCCACCTGACCCTATTGATTTTGATGGATTGTACAATATTCGGTTCTTCATAGAGCCGGTACAACTCAAAGTTGTAACGCCTTCTTCATAATCCGTTTTCTTGAACATCCCGGTATATGTGGCGGAATATCTTTCTTTTAAAGCAGCTCAACAAGACTTCGTCATTTTTTGTTATCGTCCATGTTTCTGATACATACGTGAGGACTGGTCTTATAAACGTTTTGTAAATTTATAGTTTTGTTGGTTACTACGCCTGACGTTAATAGTTATCTCATTCTAAAGTAAGCTCTATAGCCATATGCAGTCTAATTTCTGCAGTCATTATGTTATTTTCATTTACGTGAGTTCCAAGGTATACATTTCTTTACATCTTTGCACGTGTATGGTTCACTAATCAGATCTTCAGGTGGGGTTAGCTGAGCGTTATTAGCAACCTTCATATATTTTGTTTTCGACGTATTCACCTGTAACCCTTGTCTCCTTGCTGCAATGTTTTGAAGGTCTCTGAGGTTTCTTGTTGTTCTTACTATTATATCTATGTCGTTAGTGTATGCTAGTATCTGTACGGTTCTTACTTATCCCCATTTCTTTACTATATTTATACAAATCAGCTAGTCTCAAATGCGAGTGGCAAATTATCTGCAACATCGTAGTCACTTCAACATCAGCTTTGTTAAAACAATTTCTAATTGTTACTGTGACCTTCTGCCACGCAGATTTAATAAAGTACAAGCTGTGTAATATATCAATAGATTTTTTGTCCAAATGACTTAACCACTCCGTCATCATCCGTTATACTGTCTCGTGCCCTACATGCTTTTTGTTTGATTTCTAGATTTAATTAATTTTTTTTTATTCTAAAACGTCACTTTTGTAAGCACCCATCAAATGATTTAAAGGTACTCACTCCCAATTTTTCTGCAATTTCCTTTACATTTTTCTTTACAAATGGTCCTGATAGGGCATTTCGAAACAGAATTTGTCCATTTTTGAAACCTCACTACTCAAAAAGTTTTTCTCCGTTTTTACACTGACTCCAGACTGATATTTCATTGAAATATTTTCTTTATCTTTCACTGTATTAAACATTTAATAATTAAAATAATGATTTATTGGATGAATTAGGATTGATTTAATTTAACACTGAAAGAATATAACCTCAAAAACTTACCAATTAATTTGAAGTTTCTCGGAGACGTTTCCATGGCAACGGAAGGTTTGGCAACATTCAAATAATTAACAGAATCTAATTAATAATGAGATAAAATTATTTCAAAATGATTCATTAGAAATCTTACCTGAATTATAATTACCAATTTAATCTGTTTTATCATTTTCATCAAACTGAAGAAATACTTGTTATACAAGTTATTTAAGATTTAAAATATCACCACCAGTATCCATGGCAACGGAAGGTTTGGCTACATTCAAATAATTAACGGAATCTAATTATTAATTAATAATAATGAGGTTAAATTCGAAAAGTTGAAAATCTTACCTTAATTATAACATTTTAATCTGTTTTATCGTCTTAGAGATATTAAGCTTCATCAAAATTAAGAAGTACTTATACAAGTTAACACAATCACTAAAGATTTGAAATAATTAGCGTCGCTTTTCTCATTATTGGAATTAAAAGGTTTAAATTAAATTTAACGCTTAAACTTTGCATTTTAAGATAAATCGTTGCAGTGAATATAACCTCAAAAATCTCAAACAACAATTTGTATTGTTCACGACAAAATTACCATGGCAACGGAAAGTTGGGCAACCTTGAAATAATTAAATTATTTCGTAGCATCGAATTTATTAATAATTAATAAATCATTAATAATAAATCAATAAAATTTACTTTGATAATAACATAATTATCAAATTGTTTTAAGTAAATTTAGAAATTAATCTGAATGACATTTAAATGCAGTGTGAAGTTGAATAAATTAAAATAAAAAGTTTAATGAAGTTAATGTGATATTAACATTTAAAAGTCAAACAAATTTGTTAATTTAAACGTTAAATTAATAATATCCTAAATGTTTTGTTTTGTAGATCGAAAAAAAAATTTTCTACTTTATAAAGTGTCAATTTAAACGTCACTTAAACGTCAATTTCTTAGTATTTAAAAGAAAGGATTATTTTTTTATAAACATGAATGAAAACTGAAAGTATTCGTCACGTTCCGTTGAGATTTCAGTTTCCGCACTAATAACCGTCAAGATCTCGATCGTATTGTAGTTTTTTTCTCGCGTGTTAACACATTTTATGATAGTAATGCTTTCTACACCAAAACGATGGGATTAAAACGAAAAGAAATGTTTTTGTTATTTATATTCATGTAATTTGAATGAATTTAAAATCTTTTAACATGCCATAATTATTTTTACAACACATCCCTATTTGTTCGTTTTATAAGATTCTAAAAAGATAGAGACGAAAACAGGTCTTCAAGTTTACCTGCTGCATCCGACCTCAACGACGACTTCTTCTCCTTCGCCAAGTTCATTGAATCCAAAAGAGAATCGACACTGACCTAACAGTATCACGACATATGGTTGTAATTCTCTCTTTCTAACCATTACTTAAATAGGTTCTTGTAATTTCCACTCCAAACAATTACATACCTTAACCATTTTCATTTCCCATCTTGTAGTCTCAAAATAAAATAAACATTTAACAATGAAACCGTTATGTTTTAAATGAATCAAGTTTTGTTACATCTTGTTTGGTTTTATTACAGGCCATGTTGATGGATACGGTGTGGGTTCGAGACCCTGATGAAGGATTCGTTCTTGGTAATATCGTTGAAATACTTGAAGATGGAGCGGAAGTGATTCCATTAAGTTCTAAAAGCACAAGAAAAGTTTGTGGGTTTGGAGATATTTTTCAAACTGGACAACATGAAAAGGAATACGATGATAATTGTGAAATGATGTATTTAAATGAAGCTACGTTGCTTAATAATGTTAAAAAACGATATTACAGCAACAGGATTTATGTAAGAATCGAATTTATAAAAAGAATTATTTATTAATTAATTTTTTTTAGTCTTATGTAGCAAACATTTTAATTGCTGTTAATCCTTATATTGAAATCCCCGAATTATACTCTCCAAAAACAATAAAACAATACCAAGGAAAATCTTTAGGGGAACAACCACCTCACGTTTTTGCAATAGCCGATAAAGCTTTTCGTGACATGAAAGTGTTTAAAATGTCTCAATCGATAATAGTATCCGGGGAATCCGGAGCTGGAAAAACAGAATCTACAAAGCATTTATTAAAATATCTTTGCGAATCTTATGGTGCAACCGCAGGACAAGTTGAACAAAAAATCTTGGATGCGAATCCGATTTTAGAAGCCTTCGGCAACGCGAAAACAACAAGAAACAACAACAGCTCTCGTTTCGGCAAATTCATCGAGGTCCATTTTGATAAAAAGTTTCAAGTCGTTGGAGGCCACATCAGCCATTATTTATTAGAAAAATCACGGATATGTTCCGCTTCCGGCGAAGAAAGAAGCTATCACGTTTTTTATCTTTTAATGGCGGGAGCACCACAAAATTTAAGGGAAAAACTTAATTTAACACAACCAGAAGATTTCAATGTAAATATAATTCATTAATTTTTTTAGTTAATTAAACAAATTTTTTTTCGAAAACTGCTGTTAAAAGTTAACTTTTGCGTAGTACTTAGCGACGGTCAAAACGATAGTTTTTTGTCAACAGGACGTAATGAAATGCACGAATTTAAGTTGAAAAACGAGTGCTTTAAATCTTATAAAACGTATTTTTTATGCTATTTTTTTAACAAAAATAAAATAATATTTGACAATGTAGGGAAATAGGTATGTAGCAGTTGGTAATACCGTAATACTTGAAAATAGAAATTGTCAAAACACAAAATGTATTCACCTGAAAAAATGTTTCATATACAGGATGTCCCAATTTCGATGTCCGCATAGGCTATCTCCGAAACTAAAAGAGATAGAAAAAAGTACATGCCATGATCTCGTTTTTCGAGAAAATGCTAAGTCGAAAACTCCGAACAGCTATCGTCTTTTGTTTTCGCCCTATCGGCAAAAACTGAAAATTTTGCGAAAACGACAATCGCGAATATCTCACAAACATTCAGTAACAACTCTGGCATTATGTGCTGGTGCTCCCTTATATTGAATATATATCATTTCAGACATATTTAATGGCAAAATGTCGACCAAAGGCTCAATGTGCTGCCTTAATATAATACAGCGTGTCCCGTATCTTCCGCATCAGAGCATTATACGGTAGTAGAATACATTATTCTGAAGCGATCTTTCTAATAAAATTTTTTGAAATGTTTATAATAACCGCACGGGAACTGTTTAAAATTCTCAGCTTTTGTCCAATAACAGACGATTTTGATTCACCAAAAAAGTTTATTTCTTTTTGCGTGTCGAATCTATTGTTAAGTACACGTGAGAAACGTATTTTGATCGACGCGGCCGGCAGTCCGGCCGAGGGTTGGGCCGATTATCTGAATCTGATTTACTATTTGCCATTGGACGTCGAAAAACAGTTCCCGTGCGGTTATTATAAACATTTCGAAAAAATTTATTAGAAAAATCGCTTCAGAATAATGTATCCTACAACCGTATAATGCTCTGATGCGGAAGATACGGGACACGCTGTATACCTCAATATATTAAGGCAGCACATTACCTGAGTTTAAGTTTTTATGGTAGATAGTGTATGCCAAACTTCTATTATCTAAAAGGGCACACCATACATTCAACCCTAATCTTCTTTGAACACTCAGAGACTTCATCGGTCCAGATGACGTTTTGAACAAACAGCAGATTATTTAATTTTTCTAAATATCATCTGCAAAATTCTAATCTTATGTTAGATTGACATCTCCGGCACGTAAATAATGAGTTAACCCCGCTTTGTATGGGTTATATTTATTTTTCTTCCATATTCGGGAGCAGCGGCTTTTGGTTCAGACGTCTTGTTCAATTTTTCTGCAAGATGTTGATGGATTTATCGCAACTGAAGCCAACGCATTGACTTCATCCTCTTGCAGGTCATTTTGGTATGTTTTTGCACGTGGTTTGGGGAAGGACCAAAAATCCATTAAAATTTCTGCTAACCGGCTGAAAGTTCGGTCTTCTTTCCGGATACCTTGTAAAATATAATTCCGCGGCTAACGTCGTATTCTTATCTGATAACATATAGCATTCCATCATGTTACATTTTTCATAATTTTCGAAACTAATTGTAAAGTTTTATTCAGTTTTGTTATACTTTGACACTTAACATGCTGGTGCTCCATATGCTTACCAGCACATAATGCCAGAGTTGTTAGCGAATTTTTAAATACAAACTTTGGCAACTATCTGATACATTATTTTCCATCATAGTATATATGGTTATCACCATAGCAACATTAACATTAATATGTATGTATATTTTAAATACATACATTAGTTTTAGATAGAACAAAAAGAGTTTTTGTTAATTATTCAATAACTATAAGAAATATATCCAACAAACTATACAGGATGCCCATTATGTATGGAATATACTATACAGCCTGATTCAGAGTAAGCGCCTTATTTTTTTTTAGCCACACTATGGGTACTACTTTCAAAATATTTGGTAGTAATATGTTTTAGGACATTCTCTACACGATGGTGATACCAGATTTTCAATTGGACGAATTATTTCAAAATGGCAACTGTCAACTTTTTTTTTAAATGCAATGCCAACATTTTTTTTTATTATTGAGATCCTAAAAACATTCTTTTTACGATAGTATTTTGTTTTTCTTAAAAATTCATTTCTTTCCCCATCAAAAAGCAACTTAACATTTCAATCTAGTAGCGCATGAATGTTTTACAGTCGATGTTATTTTTGTCCAAATAAATAAATAAGTAGATGTTTATTACAAAATAAAGTTTAATTGTTTCTTTTGTGTCTAGCGCTACTTGATATTTGGACAAAAATAACATCGAGTGTAAAACATTCATGCGCTACTAGATTAAAATGTGTGTTTTTTGATAGGAAAAGAAATGAATTTTTAAGAAAAACAAAATACTATCGTATAAAGAATGTTCTTAGGATCTCAATAATAAAAAAAAAATTTTGGCATTCCATTTAAAAAAAAAAAAAGGTGACAGTCGCCATTTTTAAATAATTCGTCCAATTGAAAATGTGGTATCACCATCGTGTAGAGAATGTCCTAAAACATATTACTGCCAAATATTTTGCAAGTAGTACCCATAGTGTGGCTAAAAAGAAATAAGGCGCTTACTCTGAATCAGGCTGTATATCTTGGTAGGCATCAACTTAATAAAAAACATTGTATACAAAAGTTGTTTAATATTTTATTTGCCATAATAAGACAGCATTCAATTGTTTTTATTTCAGAAAACAAATGAGCAACGAATAACACTTGAAGTTTTTTAAATGGCAATGTACCATTTCGTTAGGCTCATTTGATAGAGATTTGTTTTCTCTTTACGATGACGTAAAATTTTAGTACCCTATTATCAGAAAATTAAAAAAAAATGTAAAAATTGTTTATTAAGAAAATTTAACTAATAACATTATCTAGATATCCGAGATCGTCAAGTACCTCGAAGTACATTAATTTACGGTAATAATTCGAGATACTTGACGATCTCGGATATCTAGATTAATGTTATTGATTAATATTTATTAATAAACAATTTTTCCATTTTTTTCAAATATTTTCTGATGTAAGGGTACAAAAATTTTACGCCATCGTAAAGAGAAAAGTAATCTCTATCAAATGAGCCTAACGTAAGAATACATTGCCATTTAAAAAAATGTAAGTATTATTTGTTACTCATTTGTTTTCTGAATTAAAAACAATTGAATGCAGTCTTATTATGGAAAATCAAATTTAATATTTGAAAACTGAACAACTTTTGTATAAAATGTTTTTTTATAAAGTTGATACCTACCAAGATATATACTATATTCCATATATAATGGGCACCTGTATACAGGGTGAGTCAGAAAGAATGGGAAATCTGAATACCGGAGATACTAGACACCAAAATATAATGATTTAACCTAACATCTCTTATATAAATGTCAGTGGTTTTCAAGGGGCAGGGTATTGAAAGTTAAATTCTTATTTCGAAATTTCATGATAATTTTGAAGCTAATTAAAAAAATATAAAATTACTTCTAAAATCTCGAAAATAAAAGATGGAAAAAAAATTCTACCTACGCTACTGAATTCTTCGTAAAAAGCTGGCCATATAATGTTTTATTTATAATACTCCATCTTTGACAATAAGTGAGATATTCGCGATTGTCGTTTTCACAAAATTTTCAATTTTTGCCGATACGGCGGAAACAAAAGACGATAGCTGTTCGCAGTTTTCGGCATTAGCATTTTCTCGAAAAACGAGATCATGACAAGTAAGCTACTTTTTTTCTATCTCTTTTAGTTTCGGAGATAGCCTATGCGGACAACGAAATTGGTACACCCTGTACAACTCCCAAAATAAGGGAAATTGCTCAGGGTTCAATGTGCTCATCATTGTGGACCTTGTATTCGATGGTAATAACGTGTTTAAACATCCATAGACAAACAATGTCACATTGACAACTAGAAAAATTAATGACCCAATAATACTAAAATCTCATTACAGCATCGGATGCTGTAAGGAGTCTCATTACAGCATCCGTTTGAGTACTGTAATAGATCATTACCGTCGCAAATTACAAAAAAGTCTTTTATGTCCAGCTACAACAATCAAAGAATTTGATACTATTAATTGGACCGCGTTATGCATCACTTGACTAAGCGACATTTTATCATTTTTAGAGATTTTTATGCCATCTGGTAGGTAAAGGTGTAACTTATCTTAGAAAAAATGCAGAATACCGAAAGACCTAAAATACTATTTGTTTTAAAGGATAAAGCTAAAATACGTAAAAATCATATTATACGATTTCAAGTCCGATTTGCATCATACGTCTAAGAACCGACTTCGATACGACACTTAGATACACCAAGAAATTCTACAATAGAAAAAATAGATGAACCTACAATTTTAGACCAGTGTCGTTTTCTAGATGTTAGTATAAAATTAAGAGTTTATGTCTTTTATTTTATGTAGACACTACAAATAGTTTAATATCTCTCATCTTATCCATTTTACAAACAAGTTTCTTAATATTTCATTTTGTTTTATCAAAAAAGATCACGTATCAAAGTCGAAATCAGGTTATTATTTACTAATTTATAAAATTAAAGTTTAAAAAGTTGTAAAATAAAATTAAGGACGAAGTGTTACAAGTTTACAGGTTAAAATTTAAGAACGCTCTTTTTTAACAAAAGAAATATTAAGAAACTTGGGAAAACTTCAAGAATCATCATGTGGCTTAAAAATCGACGATTTTTTTAAATCAATATGAAATGACCCAAAAAACACGTTAAAAATAAAAAGAAAGTGCGGAAAAGTGACTAACACTAGATTAACTTCAGTTATACAACTTCTATTATATGATAACTAACTTCAGGTTTAAAATGTCAACCTCAATTTTGACATATTTGTAATCTTTATTAAAAATCCTTTAAAATGAGTACAAACACGACATATTTATCTTCAATATTAATGAAGTTATGGTCAACTTCCGGTTAAGAATGTCAACGTCAATTTTGACATATTTGTAATCGTCGTGAAAAATCCTTTAAAATGAGTCCAAACATGTAACGTTCAATTCCAATATTACTCGAGATGTAAGCAATTCCGGTTTGAAATGTCAATGTCATTTTGACATATTCTTAATTTTACTAAAATGTTTTAATGTTTGTCACAAAAATAAAAATGTAAAAAAAAAATAAAAAATTAAGGTTGCTATTAATGTTTAAAAATTAAAGTGCTATCTTCATTGTTGCTAATTTAGAGTTTAATGTTTTTTATTCTAACTTTTTTGTTTTTTGAGATACGTGCGTCATCTTTGGAATCATTTTAAAGGTTTTTAAATGAAGATGACAAATATGTGAAAATTGACGTTGACGTTTCAAACCGGAAGTGATTGTATTTCCATTAATATTAAAGTTAAATATGTCGAGTTGATTTCAAAAAATTTTTTATGAAGTTGACAAATATGTCAAAATTAAAAGTTGAAAGTTCGAACTTTTTGGTTTTTTGAGATAAATGCGTCAAGTTTGGACTCACTTTAAAGCTTATTTTATGAAGATTACGAATATAATAATAAAATTAAAGGTGACATTGACAACTGAAAATTTTTTCACGACTAGACCCGAATGTTTCTAGTTCTCGTTCTAGTTTTAGTTCAATAAAAATATACAACATAGTAATATCTTATGCTAACTAGCGCTAGCTACCACTGCCACTAGAACTAACACTAGACCGAGAACTAGAAACATGCGGATTTAGTCCCACGTCTCTCAAGACGGCTAAACCCGAATGATTCTCTGAAGATCCACGGTTAAACCCGAAACTTTCTAGTTCTAGATCTAGTGTTAGTGATAGTTTTACACTTGCACTGTCATTAGAACTAACATTAGACCATGTGTTAGTTCTAGTGATAATGCTAGTGTAAAACTAGAACTAACACAAGACCTAGAACTAGAATCATTCGGGTTTAGCCGTCTTGAAGAATATGTCAAAATGACATTGACATTTCAAACCGGAAGTTGCTTATATCTCGAGTAATATTGGAATTAAACATATCATGTTTGGACTTATTTTAAAGGATTTTCACGACGATTACAAATATGTCAAAATTAACGTTGACATTCTTAACCGGAAGTTGACCATAACTTCATTAATATTGAAGATAAATATGTCGTGTTTGTATTCATTTTAATCTACTATCCGTGCAAAAAGTCAAGGCCCCTCACTTTAGACATCGATTTCTTCGTAACCGCTCCATGAAAGAAATTACGGTAAAGTTTATTGTAATCATTGAACATTTCTGCGTATGACATGTTAATTTGGAAATTTTCGGGTCCGCGGTTTTTCTTTTACCGCGAGTTAAGTGAAAAAAGTACCCGATTTTTGGGAGTGCCAGCAACTTTGTCTACTTTACGATTTTCTTTCTCCAAAACTATTGGACGAAAAAATTTCAAATTTGATCTGGTGGTAAATTGATGTGTTCTTAATGTGGGGCATACTTTATTTTTTCGATATTCCATATAGTTTCGCGGAAAATCGCGGTTTGGTAGGATGCGGTTATTTCGAAAACGACCTGGCGGATTTCAACGCGGTTTTTATCAAAATATGTCAAATAATGTTGGTTGTCGGATTCCGTTATCAGTTTTCTAAAATTTGGGCTTCCTAATTTTTTAAGAGCGATTTAATGAAATTATAAATTAAAGAGAAACAGAAATAACCTATGCGAGGAGAGGAGGGTTCCGTCCAATCGGAACAGATGGTGTGTTCCAGACCGTACGTCGCGCCTTCATCTTACCTACATAAAGAAATAAGGCGCGACGTTTTGTTAAGGGCGCCAAGTTTCTTAATATTTCTTTTGTTAAAACAAAGCGTTCTTATATTTTAACCTGTAAACTTGTAACACTTTCATTTTTATTCATATTCATTCTTTTCATTTCATTTTACAACTTTTTAAACTTTAATTTTGTAAATTAGTAAATAATAATCTGATTTCGACTTCGATACGTAATCTTTTTTGACAAAACAAAAAGAAATGTTAAGAAACTTGTTTGTAAAATGGATAAGATGAGAGATGTTAATCCATTTGTAGAGTGTCTGAAGATGGCCAAGGGCCGGTTTAAAAGTACAAAATCAAAACTCTAGATTATTTTCTTAAAATTTTTTTACACGAATCGTCATCATTTTATCTCTAGTTTTAGTGATTAAATTTATGCCACGACTTACAGAAAGATCCTGTATAATCGTAAAACGTAACGATAGCTGTCATCAGTGTTCTGTGATAAAAATGGACAGGCACCAAACAATTTTCAATAGTTTGAGCCTGTCTATTCCGAGAAGTCTTATATTTCTAGAGAGATGAAAACGAAAATCCCGTTTTTCTCAACATTATTCATTTGTCGCTTAATCAAGTGATGCATAACGTGGTTTAATTGTTAATTTATTGTTATGAAGAAATTATAAACACAAAATAATCAACATTTAATTGTTTTAGCATTTCATGTCATGTTTAAATGCAAATTTATAATGGTACATTTGTTCAATATTACATTAAATGAATTCTAAACGTCATTATACTGAATTTGGTCATTTTATTAATTTATAAACTTTAGAACACGCAGTTTTCGAAAAAATGTTTGATACACGACAGCAAAATTTTCTATAAAAAAATAACTATTTTAGTATCTTAAACATGGTTGCACTCGCTATTTTACATCTTCAAAAAGCGAAAAGAATTTATCTTCCCCCCAAAAAAGTTCGGCGCATTCAAGTCAAGGTCCCCTTAAAGATAACTTATTAGACGACGTCGAAGACTTTAACAATCTAGATTTAGCGCTGGGTCGCATTGGTCTAAACGAAGAGGAACGTACACAAGTTTATGTCATGGTCGCTGCTGTTCTTCATTTAGGAAATGTTGAGTTTGAAGATGACCCAGATGATACTCGAGGGGGTTGCAGAGTTAAACAATCGAAAGAAAAATCGTTGATAATCGCCTCGAAATTATTAGGGATCGATCATGTTGAATTAAAACAAGCTTTAACATCAAGAGTTATGCAAAGTGCGAGAGGGGGACTTAAAGGAACTGTTATTATGTAATAAAAACCGAATTAATTAATTAATTATCTAATAATTTTGGTTTTAGGGTACCTTTAAAAGTTTATGAAGCAACAAATGCAAGGGATGCTTTAGCAAAAGCCGTTTATAGTAAATTATTTGATTACATTGTGATGAGAATCAATAAAAGTATTCCTTTCCAAGCTTCTAGTTATTATATTGGCGTTTTAGATATTGCAGGATTTGGTAAATAATTAATTTTTTTGAGTATTTTTTGACAGTTTATTTGACGTAAGATAACTACTTTACCGGCATTAATTAAAATGACGTTTAACGTTTTAAAAAAAAATTTATAAATTAATTAATTAATCGTTTTGTTTTAGAATTCTTTACTGTAAATAGTTTCGAACAATTCTGCATTAATTATTGTAACGAGAAACTGCAACAATTTTTTAACGAAATCATCTTGAAATACGAACAAGAAGTTTATAAACGAGAAGGTTTGAATGTTCCTGAAATTAAATACGCTGATAATCAAGATTGTATCGGTAAATTAAAAGTATTAAGTGATTTAGGAGATTCTTATTTAGCCTTGTTTTAGATTTAATCGAAAATAAATCAAACGGAATCTTTACAATACTTGATGAAGAATCAAAACTACCAAAGCCGCTTTACACGCATTTTACGACCGAATTGCACGCGAAATGGCCAAATCATTTTAGATTAGCTCTACCGAGATCGTCGCGGTTAAAAGCACATCGAAGTTTGCGTGATGATGAAGGTTTTTTAATTCGGCACTTCGCAGGAGCTGTTTGTTATCAAACGAAGCAGTTTATCGAAAAAAATAACGATGCTTTACACGCCTCTTTGGAAGGGATCATTCAGGATAGTTCAAATAAATTAATCCAATCTTTATTTGCAATGTCAAATACGCAAAAGGGAAAATTGAGTTTTATTAGCGTTGGGAATAAATTTAAAACGCAATTAGCCGAGTTAATGGAAAAATTGAGGCAAAATGGAACGAATTTTATTAGGTGTGTTAAGCCGAATACTAAAATGATCGATAGGCAATTTGATGGCCCCCTAAGTTTGATGCAATTAAAAAGCTCTGGGATGACGGTTGTTTTGGAACTGATGGAGCATGGTTATCCGAGTAGGGCTCCTTTCAATGAGCTCCATACGATGTATCAAGAATATTTACCGAAAGAACTTAAAGGGTTAAATCCGAGAGCTTTTTGCGAAGCGATTATTCACAGCCTTCGTTTATACGAGAAAGATTATAAATTTGGAATCACCAAGGTGTTCTTTAGACCGGGAAAGTATGCAGAGTTTGATAAAATTATTAAATCAGACCCTGAAAACTTACAATGGATGATTGGAAACTTGAAACAATTCTTGGTGAAATCGCGCTGGTGGAAAGCGCAATTCACAGTTTTAACAACAATTAAATGTAAAATTTAATTTAATTATTTTTATTTAAAATTAATGAATTTGTTTTTAGTGAAGTATAAAATCCTTTATCGAAGACAAGCCTTAATAACAATGCAAAAACACGTTCGAGGTTATTTAGTGAAAAAGCGTTACGCGGCGAGATTAAAAGTATTCAGAAAAATCAACGCGCTCAACCAAAAAATGATCGAATTGGAATCGATCGCGTCCCAACTAAAAAAAGAAAAAGACGCAAGCATAAAAGAAATCAACAATTTAAAACAAGACCTCCAAAACGCCTCGCAAACCATCAAAAACAACGATAAAATCACCGTGAAAGACGTTGAAAACCTTTATGTACAAGCAGTGAATAAAGTTAACGCCCAAATGGCGACTTTACACAAACGCGTTCAAGACCAAAAGAACGCCGAAGAGCAAGAACGCATCCGTAAATTACAAGAGGAAATGGAACGTGAGCGAAAACGAAAAGAAGAGGAGGAACGATTACGCAAAGAAGAGGAGGAAAATCGGCGAAAAAAAGCCGAGATGGAAACGCGCAGAAAAAAAGAAGAAGAAGAACGTCGCGTTCAAGAAGAAGCCGAAAGAAAAGCCGCGGAGGCTTTGAGAATTCAACGAGAGAGAGAGGCCGATGAAGAAATGAAATTGCAACAACAACTAGAACAAGAACGGCAAGATCATGAATTAGCTTTGAGATTGGCACAAGAAAGTAATGGGCAACTCGAAGAGAGTCCCGTACCGATTAGAAAGTACGTAAACCATAAAATAACTTTTGGGGTGTTCCGTTTTACACTTAGCTTTTTATTTGTTTGGTGATCGTTAAATATGTGTGCTTCTTTATTTCATGCCTCAGCGGAACCGTGGACACAACACGACAATCCTACAAACTCATCAGGTACATCCACACAAAAAAGACACAATCAAAAAATAAATAAATGTTGCAACGTCAAAATAAATCAAATCTTAATTAACATTTTATATCTAGATCGGAAGCCGTTCAAAACAAACAAGCGGAATTAAGCAAGGGTAAATACGATTTATCCAAGTGGAAATATTCCCAATTAAGAGATACGATCAATACATCTTGTGATATTGAATTATTAGAGGTAAAATAAAATTGAAATATAAATGAATTTAGTAATAAAAAATAAAATTTTAGGCTTGTCGGCATGAATTTCATCGTCGCTTAAAAGTCTATCACGCATGGAAAGCAAAGAATCGTAAACGAACGACGATGGATGAAAACGAGAGGGCCCCACGTTCCGTGATGGACGCAGCGGCTAAAACGCCAAAGATCCAACAAAAACAAAACATCCTAAATAACGATAACAGCCAAAGGTATTTTCGTATACCGTTTGTAAGACCTGCGACGATTTCTTCGCCTCAAGATCCGACTGGTAAACGAGGATGGTGGTATGCACACTTCGATGGGCAATACGTTGCGAGGCAAATGGAATTGCACGCGGAAAAGCAACCGGTTTTACTCGTTGCGGGTAATTATTTAAATTTAAAAACATTACATATAATTCAAGAATCATTATGTCGCTTAAAAATCGATAATTTTAATCGACGGGAAATCACTCAAAGCCGTTACAAATAAAGAAAAAGCGCGGAAAAGTGTAGAACTTACCGAGAAATCACTTTAAAGTTTCAACATGACGTCATTTTTTGTGTTCGCTGCACATTTGGTTAAAACACATATTTTTGGGTGAAATACGATTTTTTCTTAGGTTTTCGACGCACAACGACTAAAATGTTGTTGTTTACCATCTATGAACTAAAGATAACCTAAAATTTATACCTGATGCCCTACCCCCCTTGTAAAGTATGACTAATATGACTAACGTATGACTACGTTAGCAATAAGTCTAGTATAAGTATAGTGATTATTTATTTTTATCTGGTGGGTGCTGGTTAACAACAAAATCTTAGTTTTACGTTTCCATAAACTTTATTATTAATTACACTTAAACTTAATACATATAAATTGCGATTAGTTACGTAGAGAGAGTAGACAGATTCATGACACACTACGTTAAATATCGATATGATGTGTGTGCATTTTTCAAAAAACCCTAATCATCTCCCAAACCATAAATGTTAGGTATAGGACATATGGGATATACAAGATGTAAAATGAGACACCGAAGACGACTAATTGTAAGTAATAAAATATGGGGGGTGCCATTTAAAGAAATGAAGTTATGGTACTTCCAAGTTTCGAAAAGGTAACGTGCCATAGTAAAGTGACCAAACGTTCTAGACAGCCGTACTCGTCACCAAAACATACTCCAGCATGTTCTGAATCCTCAATTGATATCCCAAAAATCGAGTGTTCTCTGATTTTTTGAACAAATGTCTGCTGGAGCAGATTTTTCTAGGAAAATTCGAATAACTCGAGAACGGCCGAAAAGTAAAGTTATTCATAAACCTTAAAAACAGACAAATCCAAATATGTAAAAATATACAGGTGTTCTATTTAAAAAAATAAAGTAGGTGGCAACTTCCGGTATAACCGGAACTGTTAGATATCTGAAAATATTTTAGTCGAACAGAACGCAATTGATAATACTTAAATCTGAATTTTCAAATTTTTATTTTGGCCAGAACCCTTTAAGGTTCTAATGAACGGTCGTTGTGAATGACCTGTATAGGGAGCCTTGCTCTGCGTGAATTGAAGGAGTGCTATTTCGTTGCGTGTTAAATCGAGACTCAATGAATGACTGATACGAATTGAGCTCGAAGGCTTCTTCTTTATTTAAAGTCATAACTAAAAAACCCTTACCTAAACACTTAAATATACACCCCAACGCATTCCCACACTTAACCAAATAAATAATGCGATAAAAACCCTAATCTTGCGGCTCGAGGCACTCCAATTCCAGACTAAACAACTAAGATAATACAAATAAATCTAATATAAATGAACTAACACAATATAAAATCTATAAAATCATACAGGGTGCCCATTATGTATGGAATATAGTATATATCTTGGTAAATATCAACTTCATAAAAAAACATTTTATACAAAAGTTGTTTCATATTTTATTTGCCATAATAAGAAAGCATTCAATTGTTTTTGTTTCAGAAAACAAACGAGCAACGAATAATACTTGAAGTTTTTTAAATGGCAATGTATCCTTTCGTTAGGCTGATTTGATAGATTACTTTTCTCTTTACGATGACGTAAAATTTTTATACCCTTACACAAGAAATTTTTTGAAAAAATGTAAAAATAGTTTATTAATAAAAATTAATCAATAACATTAATCTATACCATATGCAGATCGAATTCGCACTTATGAAAATCAATTTCAAATTTACGAAATTGGATTTCACACAACTGAAAATCATTTTCGTACTAACGAAAAATCAATTTCGTACTAACGAAAAATCAATTTCGTACTAATGAAAACCAATTTTACACTAAAGAAACTAAATTTTTCCTTTACGAATTTCAAAGTCAACATTATGAAAACGAATTTTACATTCGTGAGAATGAATTTTATGTTTATGAAGATCAATTTCGAAAGAATTTTACTAGGCTGTAAATAAAGACCTATATAAACATGTTTATTCAATGGAATTTTAATAACGAGTATTTAAATAATTACAACAATATAATTAAATTAAACAATTAAATGATAACTATATATAAATTACATCTTAAAACTTATATTTCGTTTAGATCTCGTTTAAATCTTGCTCCCTTAGCACAGCAGCATAATAACGCTCCACATGATTTGTATACCCCAAAAGATGTTGCTGGGGAGTATCCCTAATTGCTTCATCTGCGATTTCTTCTAAAATCCGCATTCTACGTTCGGCAATAGTGAGTCCTTGATTATTATTTAAACGCACATAGTTCAGTACGTTTGGCATTCTAACTTGTATCTGTCTCTTCACTTTAGATTTAAAGGAGCTCCATAGGAGTTCAATAGGGTTTAATAAATATGAATACGGTGCTAAACGTATTATTTGAACATCCTCTTGGGGTTGCAAAACACTTTCCAAGTTTGAGTGCACAGGTGCGTTGTCGATAATAAAACTCGGGTGCAAAAATCCTAAATTTCTACATGTTGCAATTAAACCTCTAAACCATACTTTGCATTCTGCACCTTTATACGAACCTCTTTTATGCTCAAAAGATACAATTTGTGTGGAACACATCGCGCCAATGCAATGCAAATTATTTCCTTTACTTGCCGGAACAACCACATGAGCTCTATGGCCAATTTTTGATCTACCCTCATTTCGACGGCAATATAAATTAAAGTTGCACTCATCAATCCAAATGAGGTCTCTACCGTTACCCCGGCTTTCTAAAAGTTTTTCAACATACTCCCTTCGTTTGACTTTATTTTCGTACGTATTGATGTTTGCAACATGTGGTCGAATTTTTTTAAGCGAAAATAATTTACCGTCCAGCCAGTTCTTTATCGTATTAATTGAAACACGAAGTTCAAATTCATTATGCACGCGATTAGATAGATCTTTAAGCGTTAACGTACTATCTTCTTCGATCCACCTTACTAACGCTTCGTCAATTGCAAGAGTTTTTTTAGACTTGGAACCTCCTTTAGGTTTCGGATCTTCTTGATCATTTTTTAACCATTCGTACGCAGTGCGAACGTTGACACCCAAGTCTTGAGCAGTTTGCCTCCAGTTTTTACCATCTTCGTAAGCTTTCATTATTCTTCTTCTATCAGCAGCACTAACCTTATTGTATTTACCGCGAGGCATTTTCATGGAGTTACGAAAGTTTGACGTTTATTAAAACAAATACCAAGCATACATGACTTATTCTTCGCAATTAATTGTCTTTCTTTAGGTGAGATTCCAAGTGTAAGTATGCTAGATTTTTTTTAAATTGATTTTCATAAATTTAAAATTAATTTTGACGTGTATGAAATTCATTTTAATAAAAACAAAATTAAAATTCGTAAAAGAAAAATTCAGTTTCTTTAGTGTGAAACTGGTTTTCGTTAGTAGGAAATTGATTTGTCGTTAGTGCAAAAATGATTTTCATAATAATTTCAAATCCAATTTCGGAGGTTTGAAATTGAATTTCATAACTGCGAAATTGATCTGGAAATGGTATAGATATCCGAGATCGTCAAGTTCCTGGAATTATTACCGTAAATTAAATTTACATACAAAATAAAAGAAATAAACGAAAAATTAGGGTACATCTCCAATAATGAGCATTGGTTCTACATAAATAAGTTAAAGATGAATAAAGAAAAAACAAACATACTTACCTTTCACACAAGACGATGCGATGGAGTGATAGATAAATCCATAAAGTTCCTTGGAGTTACTATTTCAGAATCTCTTAAATGGTCCAAACACATATCAAACCTGAAAGGGCGACTGTCTAGTGCTCTGTATTGCCTTAAAACAATACGTTCAAACCTTCCACCCGAGACATTCCGAAGCGTATACTTCGCATATTTCCATGCTATCACGACGTATGGAATCATTACGTGGGGTGCATCTAGAGAGATGGAAGCCATTTTCGTTATGCAAAAGAAGGCAGTTCGGATACTGGCTGGACTAAAAAATCAAGAGAGTTGTAGAAGCCAAATCAAAAAATTAAAAATACTTACCTTGCCGTGCTGTTTTATACGCTCCTGTCTAGAGTATACTCATAATAATAAAGATTTGATGCTGAAACACGTAGACAATCACGAACACAACACCCGATACAAAGAAAATATTTTGACTCCATATCACCGAGTGGTCAAATTACAAAACACATACGATTATATAGCCGTCAAATTATATAACGCACCGTTGGAAACAAGAAGCATGGAAGTAAAACAGTTTCGAATCACTGTCAAGAATTTCCTCTTGGAAAATGAATACTATACTGTGCAAGAATACTTTGAATGGATGACCGAGAAATTAATCATCGGAAATTGTTATATTTTATTATTTGTAGTTGGCATTTCCTCTATGTGAACATTATTAAATGTTATTAGTTAAATTTTCATAATAAACAATTTTTACATTTTTTTCAAAAATTTTCTGATATAAGGGTAGTAAAATTTTACGTCATAAAGAGAAAAAAAATTCTATCAAATGAGCGTAACGAAAGGGCTCATTGCTATTTAAAAAACTTAGTGTTATTCGTTGCTAGTTTGTTCTCTGAAATAAAAACAATTGAATGCTTTCTTATTATGGCAAATAAAATATTAAACAACTTTTGTATAAAATGTTTTTTTATGAAGTTGATATTTACCAAGATATATACTATATTCCATACATAATAGGCACCTGTATAGTGTAATTAATTATAAGAGAGATAGTTGAAAGAAGTCAAATAGAAGTTAAGACAACGATACAGTCTTTAATTATATATTTATATGTTATCGGTATCTCCGTTACGCCGGCACACCTAAGATTGACTAGGCAATTCGCACATTGCCCGAGCATTTTTGACCAAGTCCGAAATAACTTTTAATTTCGGGGTTTGCCTACTATCCGTGCAAAAAGTCAAGGCCACTCACTTTAGAGATCGATATCTTCACAACCGCTCGAAAAAAAAATTGCGTCAAAGTTTGTTGTAATCACTCAACATTTCTACGTAATATACGTTAATTTGAAAATTTTCGGTTCCACGGTTTTATTTTTATCGTCAGTTAAATGAAAAAAGTACCCGATTTTTTACGGTACCGACAACTTTGTCAACTTTGCGATTTTTTTTTCTCCAAAGCTAACGTACGAAAATTAATGAATTCCGCGGAAAATCGCGGTTTAGTAAGACGCCGTTATGTCGAAAACGGCTGGGTCGATTTCCTCGCGGATTCGACCAAAATATGTCAAATAATGTCGGTTGTCGAATTCCGTTATCAGTTTTTCATAATTAGAGCTCCCTAATTTTTTAAGAGCGATTGAATGGAATTATAAATTAAAGAGAAACAGAAATAGGGTCTTCGGGGTGACGGGGGCTCCGTCCAATCGGAACAGCTGGTGCGTCCCAGACAGGACGTCGCGGCTTGTTTCTTTATGTAGGTAAGATAAATGCGCGACGTACTGTCTGGGACACACCATCTGTTCCGATTGGACGGAACCCTCCTCTCCCCGCATAGCTTATTTCTGTTTCTCTTTAATTTGTAATCTCGGTAAATCGGTCTTAAAAAATTAGGTAGCCCTAATTTTGAAAAACTGATAACGGAACCGACAATCGACATTATTTGACATATTTTGGTAAAAACCGCGTTGAAATCCGCCAGGTCGATTTCGAAATAATCGCGATTTTCCGCGAAACTATAAATATGGAATATCGAAAAAATAAAATATGCCTCACATTAACAACACATCGGTTTACCACCAGTTCAAATTTGAAATTTTTTCGTCAAATAGTTTTGAAGAAAAAAAAATCGCAAAGTAGACAAAGTTGCTGGCACTCTCAAAAATCTGGTACTTTTTTCAATTAACTCGCGATAAAAGAAAAACCGCGGACTGGAAAATTTCCAAATTAAGATGTGATACGCAGAAATGTTCACTGATTACAATAAGCAATCTTTACCGCAATTTTTTCCATCGAGCGGTTACTAAGATATCGATCTCTAAAGTGAGGGGCCTTGACTTTTTGCACGGATAGTAGTATGCAACTAGGCAAACTTAAGTGTGCCAAATGAGGCTCAGGCAAAGTCGGAAAAGTGTAAATTAACATCGGACTTTGCCTAAAGTGAGTCAGGCAAACTTGGGTTTCACGTGCTTTCCTTGTCAGTGATGCGCACGACGCACTCTGCAAGTTTCAACTAGTCGACGGTCAGTCATTCCCTTAGTGCGATTGAATGTACTTCGAGCTAAAAGTAATACTGAAGTTCCCTTCAGACTTCAGTACGCCACGTCGAAGCCAGTCTGGAACACAACTAGCACCACTTTTTCAAACTGAACGGAACCCCTCTCCCCCCGCATGGCTTAATTCTGTTTTTTTTTAATTTATGGCACACGTAAATTGTTTTAAAAAAATTATGGAGACAAAACTGTGAAAACCCAATAATAGGATTCGACAAACACAATTATTTGCCATATTTTGGTTAAAACCGCGTTAAAATCCAACCAGCCGTTTTCGACTATACCGCATCTTACTAAACCGCGATTTTCCGCGAAACTATATGGAATATCGAAAAAATTAAATATGCACATCATTAAGAACACATCAGGGTATCACCTGTTCAAATTTTAATTTTTTTCGTCGGATAGTTTTTGAGAAAAAAAATCGCAACCGCGGAGTCGAAAATTTTCAAATTCACATATGTTACGATTTTTTTCATCGGACGGTTCTCGATATATCGATCTTTAAACTGACGAGAATTGACTTTTCAAGTTATACCAAGATTTACTTAACTGGAGTTTATCTAGCGACTGAAGAACCGGCCCTTAATATTTGAATTCAATTTGTATTATATTACAATGTAATTATTGTTAAATTGACGCACTCTACGCTTTTTTGGTAAAATGGGGGGAAATAAAGTATTATTATTATTAATGTTAATTCTAGTGACAGTAGTAGGTAGCCACATCGCATCGTGTTGAACAATACAACACGATGCGAGGTTTAAATACTTTATATAGACTGTACCACAGTATAGGCTATCTTTTACTCAACTCTTTACTCTGACTGTATTGAACCAGTGACGTCAATCTGCGGGGTAATAGTCGATACTACAGAGGCATGGGGAATCAGGTATAATACCTAAGGTCTATAGAATATAAGGTTCTATAGGCCTTGGTAGGTAGCGTTAGTTAGCATAAGATAAACCTGCCGCTAAATCTGAATGTCACAAAACGTGACGTCACATCGAAACTTTAATGTGATTTTTCGGTATTTTTTATTTTTAACGTGTTTTTTAGGTCATTTCATATTGATTATCGTCGATTTTTAAGCTACATAGTGATTCTTGAAGTTTTCTAACTAAAATATTAATTTTTACAGGAAAAGATGATATGCAAATGTGCGAGTTATCCTTAGATGAAACCGGGTTAACTCGCAAACGAGGAGCTGAAATTCTTGAGAACGAATTTAATAGGGAATGGGAGAAAAATGGTGGAGCACCCTACTCCCGACCTGCGGATAGAAAAACAAATTAAAAGAATTATTTAAAATAAATATTAGCCTAGGAGATAAATTTATTTTTTTGGGGGGAATTTATTAAGTGTTATCTTTTAAGCAAATCTTATTGCTTTTGCAGTATTAAAATAGGTAGTTACTATGTTTATTTTTTTTTGAAAAATAAAATATTAAAATTAAATTGTTTTATTACTATTATTATTACATCACAAACTCTATGTTTTAATATTGCCCAAAAACATATTATTTAATACTCCTAATTTTCTTCTTTTCTCTGTATAAACTCGTTCGTTGAACTACAAATAAAGTTTCAATAAACATAATTATTATACAAATATAAACTTACTGAAAGGATCGAATTTTATAACCTCTAATTTATCTGCCAAACGATCCCGAATTTTATTAAAAGTGTGCCCACTCACCATACTTTCCATTTGCACCATAATACTCCTAAACAATTAAAAATTAATTAATGTAAGTATAATTAAGTTTATTTCATTTACTTACTTGCTTTTAACTCGTTTTAATAAAACGTTTGTTAAGAACATTTTTTTAGGTTAATTTTTTATCTGTCACTAAACACTACTACCAACCTATTTCTTACCATCAAATTAATTTATTTTATTATTAATTTATTAATAATATTAAAAATGATTTGTAAACCTCTCAGATATTATTAAAATTAAAATCGAAATTAATATTAATTAATTAATTTAATAACGAAAATTTAAATAAAAGTATTACCAATCGTTTTTACACGTCATGTGGATTTGACGCTTGCCGCATGATTCTGGTCCCTACAAAGTGATGAAATGGGCTGTAATAAGAATATAAGTGATTTCGGTGCGTTAAGAACTAAATATCCTTAGCGATGGAGAAAAAGGAGCTCTTCTACCGCCTGGTTTTACTCCTTTTACACGCGGTGGTCGATTTATTCGACTTTATTCGTTATGCCTGGGTGTACCTGCGGTTGAAGATCTCCGATTTTCGCTTGAAATACGCTGAAATACGAAGTTTTGAAGCTCAAACTAGGAAGCTAAATAAACTACCAAAGCATTTAACCGTGCTTCTTGGTGTTGAAGAACCAAGCATCAAAGATTTAGCTAATTTTATTTTTTGGTCTGTCAGTGTTGGAATTCCTTATATTAGTTTTTATGATCATAAAGGTAATAACTATTTAGGAAAGATGTGTTGATAAAATCAAATTGTTTCTAGGTTTATTAAAGAAGAGGATTGACTGTTTTAAAAGTGAAGTGAATAAATGGGAAGGAATACATTTTTTATTTCACCATGAGGATAGTATAGGTTATAAAAATGGTTTTAGTGGGAAAAAAATTCATATTAAGCTTTTATCGTCTACAGATGGTCGAAATAAGGTGGCGGAAAAATGTAGGGAATTCGTTTCGATAAAAAATTTCGATGTGCAATACATCGATGCGGTTTTACGGGAATCTTTTGAATTCCCAGATCCTGATTTGGGGGTTTATTTTGGGAAAAGTTTTCGTTTATACGATTATCCCCCATGGCAAATTGCGGTCACTGAATTTGTAAATATTCCTACTCATTATAATTGTCATCGTAAACAATTCCTTGAATTATTATTAAGGTACGATAAATGTGAACAGAGGCTTGGAAAATAATTATAAATATTTAGGATTTAAGTATAAATAAAGTAAGTGTACAAATTTCTTATGTATATTATGTAATAAATCAAGTGATTAAAAGAGACTTTTTTTAATACATAAAATTTATTTGTTTATGTAAATTTATTTATTTTTATCGTCTATATTTAATACACGCATTTATTGTAATCAATTTTTGAATACAGTTAATTTAAATCTAAATGAGGCGAAATCTATTTCGTAATAAAAACAATGTTGAAATTATATTTTCGCTCACCGCATGTGTTTGAAATTGCAAAAAACAAGATAAGTTCATCACTACTAATAGTGCAAAAAGTCAAGGCCTCTCACTTTTGAGATCGATATCTTCGCAACCGCTCGATAAACGCAATTATATGACAGATTTTGGTTACAACCGTCTTGAAATCCAAGTTATGCCGAAAGCAGCTGGGGCTTTCGGCATAACGACGTCCAACTAAATTGCGATTTTCCGCGATACTATAATATAGTTCATACTTGGGTATAGTATACAGGTGTCCCGTTAAGAGTACGGAGCGGCTGTATCTCGACAACGGTAAAGCCTAGAGGTTTGGGAAAAAATCCTTATGAGCAAA